GAAGATGGTAAAGATGTACCAAAATCTGAAGAACTGTGGACTGAAGATGAGAACAAGTTTGCCAAGTTCAATGCAAGAGCACTCACCGCCATCCACTGCAGTGTTGCGAGGAAACAGTTTGAACTGATTCAGGGATGTGAGTCAGCGAAAGAAGCATGGGATATTCTTCAGAGGCATTTTGAAGGAACTAAGAAGGTGTTAAGCTCGAGAAGAGACATGTTGGATACTCGGTTTGAAGATCTGAAGATGGACGAGAATGAGTCAATTGCTGATTTCAGTTCCAAACTAAGTTCATTGTCACAAGAAGCACTCACACTTGGGAAGAAATACAAAGAGAAGAAGATGGTGAAGAAGTTCCTGAGGTGTCTTCCTGAGAGGTTCAGAGGTCACAAATCAGCCATGGAAGTAGCTCTCAACACTGATGACATAAGCTTCGATGAGGTAGTGGGTATGATGCAAGCTCATGAGATGGAGCTAGACAGTGGAAAGAAGGTAAAGGGGATTGCGCTAGCTTCTGTTGAAAAGGATGAAGCAGGTGATGATCCAGTGAGCCTACTTGTGCGGAGATTCGATAGAGCACTCAGGAAAGTTGAACAAGGACAATCTTACAAGAAGTTCAGTTCAAAACCCAAATCTGCAGAAACTGAGAGGAATACCAAGAAGTCAGATGTGAAGTGCTACGAGTGTAAGGGATATGGTCATGTGCGAACTGACTGCCCCACAGTAAAAAGAAGAGAGTTTCAATGCTTTGGATGCAAAGGGTTTGGTCATACTCAAGCTGAATGTGAGGCAGACGACAAGAAGAAGAAAGAAAAATCGTTGATTGGTATTGATGACAGCGACTCCGACAGCGATAGTGAAGAAGAGCTAAAGAACTTTGTAGCATTCTTGGGCATCACCGAATTTGAGTCTGACTCGGAAAGTGAGAATGAATCAGAGAAAGAACTGACTGAGAGCTATCGAGAGATTCGNCTCAAGCTGAATGTGAGGCAGACGACAAGAAGAAGAAAGAAAAATCGTTGATTGGTATTGATGACAGCGACTCCGACAGCGATAGTGAAGAAGAGCTAAAGAACTTTGTAGCATTCTTGGGCATCACCGAATTTGAGTCTGACTCGGAAAGTGAGAATGAATCAGAGAAAGAACTGACTGAGAGCTATCGAGAGATTCGTGAGACGGTACTAAGACTTGGAGCTGAGAATCGGGCACTTGAGAAAGCTAAGGGAAGTCTTGAAGCAGAGTTGGAAAAAGTCCGGCTAGAACTTCAACAGGAGACTGAGTTAGCCAAAGAGAGCGTGAATCTAATGAAGGAGAAGCTAGTTCTTGCCAAACAAGCAGAAGATCTTAGGCAGGAAGTGATAGCTGAGAAGAAAATCTCCATGGAACTACAATCGGAGTTAGATCAGCAATACAAGAAGATCAAGATGCTGACGGGCACTAAGCAACTGGACAAGATTCTAGCTCAAGGCAGAACAGAGAGTTCTCACATGGGGCTGGGATACACTGGAAGATCGAGCAATACCACAGGCATGACCAGTTTTGTGTCCGGAGGATTTGTTCACGCTAAAGAAACTGAGACAAGAAGTCAGTCAAGACAATCTGGTGGATGCTATTACTGTGGAAAGTTTGGTCATTACAAACGGTTCTGTAAGAGGTATCTCGAGAAGATCCGACAAGTGTGGAATCAACGGAAGTTCTGGAGAATTGGGAACACGAGTCAGGTATGGATGAAGAAGGCAGACTTGTATTCCTCCACCGTTGCAGGATCTGGCTTAAGATGTAACATGGCGTTAGTCACAGAGGAAGATGATGCAAACGAACCATGGTATTTTGATAGTGGCTGTTCAAGACACATGACAGGGAATGCTGAGTACTTAGATAACTTGAAAAAGGTGAAAGGCGGGAAGGTCATTTTTGGAGATGGAGGACAAGGGTCTATCAAAGGGAAAGGTGCTACAAGCGATGGTGAACTACCTAAGTTGGTGAATGTATACTTTGTCAAAGGTCTCAAGGCGAACTTGATCAGCATAAGTCAATTGTGTGATGAAGGACTCTCAGTTCTATTCACAGCCACTGAATGCCGAGCCATCAACACGCATGGGGTAACAATTCTACGAGGAGTAAGAGCTGGCAACAACTGCTACATGTGGGAAAAGAAGACTAAGTGTATGAATGCCTTCTCTGCGCAATCCTCACAAGACAACATTGAACTTTGGCATCAACGTCTAGGACACATGAATCTGCGTAACATGGCGACGCTGGTCAACAAAAACTTGATTCGTGGAGTACCTCAGCTTCGAATAGAAGATAAGATCGTGTGTGGAGCTTGTAATCAAGGGAAACAAGTAAAGGTACAACACAAGAAGGTTCCTGATGTACAAACCTTGGCCCCCTTGGATCTAGTTCACATGGATCTAATGGGACCAATGCAAATCGACAGTATTGGAGGAAAGAAGTATGTGTTTGTACTAGTTGATGACTTCACAAGATTCACATGGGTCAGATTCATCAGAGAAAAGTCTGAAACAGTAGAGAGCTTCAAGATATGGGCTCTACAGTTGATCAATGAGAAAGGAGGAATCAAAAAGATACGCAGTGATCATGGAGGAGAATTTCAGAATGAACCCATGACTCAATTTTGTGAGAAGAAAGGAATTGCTCATCAATTCTCAGCTCCCAGGACGCCACAACAAAACGGTGTAGTTGAGCGAAAGAATAGGACATTGCAAGAGATGGGCAGGGCGATGATACATGGGAACAAGATACCTCAAAGGTTTTGGGCTGAGGCACTAAGTACTGCATGTTATATCATCAATAGGGTGTATGTGAGAAAAGGGACCACGAAAACTCCTTACGAAATGTGGACTGGTAAAACGCCTAACCTTGGGTATTTTCATGTTTTTGGTTGCAGGTGCTACATTTTGAATGACAAGGACTATCTAGGGAAGTTTGATTCAAGAAGCGATGAGGGCATCTTCCTGGGTTATTCAGGAACTAGTACAGCGTACAGAGTGTTCAACAAGCGATCTGCCATGGTTATGGAGTCAGTGAATGTGGTATTTGATGACTTGTCTGTGATCAGCTGGGAGGACCAGGAATCTGATGAAGAGACAGAGACACGAGAGATTAGACCGAGAGAAGAAGTATCTGAGGTCACTGAATCAGAAGGTGCTGCATCAACTGAAGCACCCCAGCAAGTACATCGTAACCATTCAGCTGACGATGTGATTGGAGGGTTAGATGAAGGACGGAAGACTCGCGGGAAAGTGATAAACTTTCGAGAGATGGTCCAGTTCGCTTGCTTTGTTTCTTCCATTGAACCTAAGACACACAAAGATGCATTATGTGACGCGTACTGGATTGTGTCAATGGAGGAGGAACTGGAGCAGTTCGTAAGGAACGATGTTTGGGAGCTTGTGCCCAGACCAGAAGGAGTAAATGTCGTGGGAACTAGATGGATTTTCAAGAACAAGACTGATGAGCATGTAGAAGTGGTTCGTAATAAGGCTCGATTGGTGGCACAAGGATACTCACAGGTTGAAGGGGTAGACTTTGAAGAAACGTTTGCACCAGTGGCTCGTCTTGAGTCCATCAGGTTGTTCCTAGGAATGGCTTGCATCCTGAACTTCAAGGTATATCAGATGGATGTAAAAAGTGCGTTTCTTAATGGAATTCTACAAGAGGAGGTCTATGTGGAGCAACCAAAGGGGTTTGAAGACCACACTCATCCGCAACATGTTTACAAGTTGAAGAAAGCATTGTATGGTCTTAAGCAGGCACCTCGAGCATGGTATGAACGTCTTACGAGCTTCCTAGTAGAAGGAGGGTACATCAGGGGAAGTGTAGACAAGACATTGTTCTTCATGGAGAAAGATAGGAACATCATCATTGTTCAGATCTATGGGGATGACATTATCTTTGGAAGTACTTCACAGGCAATGGTGGATCAGTTCGTGAAGAGTATGACAGATGAATTCGAGATGAGCATGTGTGGAGAGCTCAAGTACTTCTTGGGGCTTCAAGTAACTCAGTCTGAGAAAGGAGTATTCATCTCACAGAGTGCGTATGCCAACAATCTTGTTAAGAGGTTCGGACTTGAGAACAGCAAGGTTGCACGGACTCCAATGAGTACCTCAGTGAAACTTGCACGAGATGAGGCAGGGGAATACGTGGACCCAACCTTGTATAGAGGAATGATTGGAAGTTTACTTTATCTGACTGCCAGTAGACCAGATCTGTCCTTCAGTGTGGGAGTATGTGCAAGATACCAAGCCAAACCGAAGGTGTCACACTTGAATGCAGTCAAGAGGATTATCAAGTACGTGAAGGGGACTGAAAGTCTTGGAATACAATTCGCCAAGAACTCCAACAAGAATCTAGTAGGATACTGCGATGCTGATTGGGCAGGATGTGCTGATGATAGGAAGAGTACGAGTGGAGGATGTTTCTTTTTGGGTCACAATCTCATATCATGGATAAGTAA